ACCACGACGCGCGGCTGCACAAAATCAACCCGCGTGTGCCGCCTGCAGCTAGAACCTTCCTTGGTGCGTGGGGGAGCGTGTAAGGCCCATTTTGCTCCGTTTGACTTTTGGTGGCCAATTTTCATCCTAATTCCAATTCTAACTATATTTTTATGTGAGTGAATAGAGACCAAATTAAGGAAAATCAATATTTTTAGATACCCTACTTGCACATAAACACTAAGCGAAAAGGGCATGCGTCAATCAAGTAAGTCACCACACAGAACTTTAGATGATATACTTGTAGGAATTGTTTGGATATGCATGCATGCTAGTTTAATTACCTTAGATCATTAGAATTTCCATGAAATGAGCTTAGGTAATAAAGTTAAGTATTCTGAGAAGTCAATCATGTTTTAAGTATTCTGAGAAGTCAATCATGTTTTAGGCTCCCGCTTAGTATGTATGTGCTTGATTTATGCTGGAAGGAGGATGAGAAAATTGTAAACTCTACGCTCCGGGCGTTGATGGATGTTATCGCCCCATTGAACATGTTTGCCTATTTTGCATGAACTGTATGTCATATATCTAGATGCTTGATCTATGCATACCAAGTTAATGTTTATTATTCATTATCATGATAAGACTAGGGTTTTGGTGGTTAGAGTGACAAGTCACTCAATTTAGACCTAACCTTTTCCTTAGGAGCCTAACAGACCACCACGGCATACTAACCACTTTAAGAGGTACCTTTAGGCTGTAAGTGATGTGAACGGTGTCATAGCTTCGTGGGGGACCAGAGGTTCCTAATCAAAATCCACTTCTCCTAACTGTTTCGTATTGGAAACATGAGCCTAAGTCATACAGACCATTTAGCTGGATGGGATAAGGGAAAGGTAGACCCTTCCCGATGAGGGGACTATTACGGACTTAGGGAGTTGCAGCTCACTTCCTAGGTAAGACACCAATTAGTCTCATAAGTCATGCTTGAGGTAGCTCCTTGTAGGTGGGGTCCTTCAGAGCTCGGCATAAGGGAACTTTTAGGGTTTAAATGAAAGGACAAAGAATCAGAATAACCCCAAGGGGTTAAGACTATAACTAGACGTCCTAGAGTCAATGAGAAGTCCGTGAAAATCTGTTAAGCCTAGTATACGATGAAATCCTACGAGTAAATGGCTTATTGAGTATAATTTTTATACTCATCCTTGCTATATCTTCATTTTTGAGGTAAGTGAAGCAGGTCAAGAGAGGGCGTGTTGTGAGATGTGGATTATCATAGAGGAAAGCATGTCTTGGGGCGTCGGTCCAGTTTTTCTTTTATACACACTATCTTTCATATTTTCATTGTTAAACTATTTATGAATGGATTCTTTGTATCAAAATTTTCTTCTTATGAAATAAATGATTTTGAATGATGTTTTCTTGTGAATTTTCATGCATACACACTACACATCATTGTCGTTTTGAGTCACAACTTGTAGTAAAATATTCGATCGTGACAGAACCAAGTCCATCATGCTCGTATCAAGCATATTGATGTTCGATTTCATTTTGTTCGAGAAATTATCAATGAAGGGGACATTCGTTTATTGAAAATTTGAATTGCTGATCATTCTGCAGATATGTTGACAAAGGTGATTACTCGTAAAAAGTTATGGCATTGCATTGATTTGATCAATGTTGGACGGAAGAAGTAGCCTGTTGACTTGGTGGTAGCCGAACTGATTATGTGCTTTAGGACTTTTGATAAGGTGGAGATTGTTGAGAATTTTCATGAAGATATAGTTTATGAATACTTGGATTCATGAATCGAAGTGTGGAATCTACCAAAAGTATTCATGAATCCAAGTATTCTTGAAACAAATCTTCATGAGATTCTCAACAACATGTGGTATCATTACGGTGATACATAAATAATCTAATACATGTATCTATCAAATTAATTTAACTCCAAGATGTATTTAATAAACTTCTTAAATTTGACCTTTAGAAGCAGTCGACCTCTCTCATTTGCCAACGGAAGACTTTCGTACAACAATCTTGACATGTGTTTTGCTCCATACGTTGATCACTTGAGGAACCTTCGAAAGATTTGCATGTTTGATCTCTTTAACGCTTCGCAGGTTCAGTCATTTTTGTTGTAAGTTATCATGAAAATGTATGGCTATAACTCTCATTTAGTTCATTATTCTTGATGGTTCATATTCTCATTAGCCCTTTTGTTTCATATTTTCATTTATTTTGGTTATTAACTCTCGTTTAGTTCATAACCATTTTGTTTCATATTCCCATTTATTTGGTTGATGTACATGTATGAGAATTAGTATTGCTATATCTATATAAAAACTTGTCTAGCATTGTTTTGAGACGTGAAATCATTGTCATTTTGTATTTTTGAGTGGCATTTGGGTTAGATGTAGAGTCATTGTCATTTTGTATTTGTTGAGAAACTTTGTAGTGTGAGAGTGTGAGAGATACACTTTGATTGAATTTATTTTTATAGGTGTGAGCACGACCGATCTTGGGTGCGCTTCCTCTACAATAATTGGTATTTGAGCATCATGTGATGCAACCCATTACCTACCTAAATAATGCATTCGTACTAGATTATAACATGCATTTTGTATTGATAAAGTTGATAACTTTTTGTCTAACAATATTGAATCTAATGAATGACAATAAAAATATCAAACTTTTGGGATGAGTACCAAACTCCAAGATAGGGTGGATGGTAGAAGGAATAGGGTGGATGGTAGAAGGAATTTGGACACAGTTTTCTTTCTCTCGAGCAGGTTGTTAGTCCAATAGATCTCTACGGCTGAAATTCAATATGACTACACTTTCAAGACTCACAACTTGTTTATTCAATGTCTGAACATTCTATTGACATAGTTCAGTTAAGATTAGAGTATGACTTTCATGGTAGAGATAGAACAATCGATAATTGTCCACTTTGAGCATAAGCTCTTGTTGTTGCTTTGTTTTTTATTTCTCCAAAAATTATCACACCAATGGAGATAACCTCCCTTATATACCTGGATCTTCTCCTTAATTATTAATGTAAGACTCAAATGTAAAAAAATTATAATTTACCTTGTTGAGCCCAATTTTGTTGGATCTAAGGAAGTTATACATTCTATCATGAGTGCTTTTAGATAAATTAAAGAGGAAAATTCGGGTTCTAACTAAGGTGCACCAAATCAAGTGGCTGAGCCTTGTTTGACCCTTGGTACCAACAAAGTTGGTCACATGGATAGATGGGCTTCACATGTCTGTCCTCAAAATCTAAAATATTTAACATGATTAACTTGAGTCGTCTAAAATAAACTAAATTAATCATCATTTCCATTGCAATTACATAATATCCAGATATACTTTAGATATTTTTATTTAATCCAAAGAATGCAACCCATTACTTAAATACATAATGCATTTATACGAGATAATTGGCAAAGTTGATAATAATCACATGCTCATATGTTTTGAGCACAAATATGTTATGATTGTTATGATCGTTGATAATAACCACATGCTCATATGTTTTGAGCACAAATATGTTATGATTGTTATGATCGTGGAAGTTAGTCATAGTAACTTAGGTGTCAAACAACCGGTGTACTTTGTTCGAGGGCTTAAGAGAAGGATCCTTCGAGAAGGCTCTATGGTATAGGTGTACTTTGTTTGAGGAATTCAGAGGAGGAATCCTGCAAAAAGGTTCTATGATATATTTTGTTCGAGGAAAGGATTGTTGAGGATATTGGAATCTCACATCGGTTACTTACAGGGAAGATCATGGACATATAAATTCGCCAATAAAAAAGATGAAAGCTCACCAAATTTGATGTCAATCGGATGTTGGATAGACGTTACACGCAACAAAATAACATCTATTCGAGAAAGATTGGAAATGCCTATAAGCATATAACTATTCACTTATGTTTCATTCCAGATTCTGCCCTCCCTCGCTCTCTATCATTCAAAGTAGAGCTGGGAGCTGGGAAATGGTTAGCGTTGATAGAATGATGCCTAATAATCTTATCTTCTGGGTTCCTCTGCTTTTCCTCTGTTCTTCTCTGTTGCTTCTTAAAACCATAAGAAAACAGGCAAACCCCAACAACAAGCTTCTTCCTCCCACCCCTCCAAAGCTTCCTTTGTAGGGTCATTTGCACCTCCTTGGCTCTCTCCCCCATCGCTCTTTTACTGAGCTTTCGAAAAAATATGGCCCCGTCATGCTCCTCCAACTCGGCTCTGTCCCAACCGTCGTGGTCTCCTCTGCCGCTGCTGCAAAAGAGTTGTTCAAATTTCACGACCTTGCTTCTTGCAGCCGTCCTTGCTCAACAGGTAGTGGAAGACTTTCGTACAACTATGTTGACATGAGTTTCGCTCCATACGGTGAAGAACACTGGAGGAACGTTCGAAAGATTTGTATGTTTGAGCTGTTCAATGCTTCGAGGGTTCAGTCGTTTCAGCATATTAGAGAAGAAGAGGTGGGTGTGTTATTGCACTCAATCTCTCAACATTCAAATCTTGTTGATCTCTGTGAGAAATCTTATTTTTGTTGAACACAACTCTAGGGGAAACACTCGTACTCTTTATTAAGACCAATCGAGAAAGGAATACAAGAGTAGAATACTACTGCTTTTTATTGTTTTTGGATTTCTGGGATGAATAACCTAGTGGAGGAGTATTTATACTGAGCCTAAACAATCTATATTTAACCAATCTAAATCTAGACCTACCAAATCTGAATCTTTCCCCTAAAATATTTACATCTTTTTCTCCTAAAATCTCTCCTAAAATCTCTCCTAAAATAAATATATTGGGCTCGTACAATAATTGGGCTTGACTCTATTGGACCAGTACAATTATTTGGGCTTGACTCTATTGGACTAGTACAATTATTTGGGCTTAAATAAAAAAAAATTTCACAAAAAAAATAAGATTCTATTGGGCTAGTGATGATATTTCAACAATTCTCTCACAGCTAATGGCTTTTGGGAATGGCTTTTGGGAATAACTTCAGAGGGGGTGAGCTAGATAATCACAATTTTCACCATGTTGTTCGAAGAGCCATAGTATGACTCTGATATTTCTCCGCGACTGACTACTTTCCCAGAGTGGGTTGGATTGTTGATTGGCTTACTGGCGTTCATGGAAGGTTGGAAAAGAGCTTTTTTGAGTTGGATGCCTTTTTCCAACATGTAATTGATGACCGCATCAACTTCCAGGCCACTTCTCAGAAAGAAGACAATATTATCGATGTTCTGTTGAAATCAGAAAAAGATGGATTGCGACTCAGTAGAGATTGCATCAAGGCACTTACAATGGTAACCTCAACTTATGAATAACTCCAATTGTAACTCATATATTTAACATTTTTTTGTTCTTGGTTGTGTATGTTTTAGAATATATTTCTAGGTGGAGTTGACACAGGAGCAGGGGTCATTGTTTGGGCCATGGCAGAGCTGATTAGGAATCCAAGGGTGATGAAAAAGCTACAATGTGAAATCAGAAACTGCATCAAACAAGATAGGGTGAAGGAGAGTCAACTCGAGAAGCTTGAATATCTAAAAATGGTTGTGAAAGAGGTTCTGAGGTTGCATCCTCCCATCCCGCTTCTTCCCAGAGAAACCATGTCTCATTTCAAGCTCAACGGTTACGACATTGATCCCAAATGTCATCTCTACGTCAACGTTTGGGCGATTGGGAGAGACGTGAATTACTGGAGTAACCCAGAAGAATTCTTGCGGGAGAGATTCATAGGAAATGATATCAATTACATAGGACAACATTTTGAGTTATTACCATTTGGAGCTGGTCGGAGAAGATGTCCGGGAATGAATATGGGGATCCTCGCAGTGGAGCTCACACTAGCTAATCTGTTGCTTTGTTTCGATTGTTGGACATGGAAGAGAATGGTGACCACCCCCAAGAGATCACCTCTCAAACTTATTCCAATTCGCCACTTAAGAGTGTAGCTCAGTTTTTGGATTCAACTCACTCAATCAGCAGATGGGAAAAATGAAGTGATATAATTGAATCAAATTATAAGACGTAATAAGAGAATCTTTAATTTCAGTTTGATGTTTAAGAATTATTTCCAAATTCATCGCACTCTTAACAAGTTCTTGTGGCTTTGTAAAAGAAATTTGTAGTGCTGGAGTTCTATAAATATATACAACTTCTCAAGGCTCTTATTCCAATACATATGAGGTTTCTCTAAATGTTTTGTTCTACATTTACTTCTGACATGAACTCCACCATCAATCAGAATACAAGAACTTGTATACTCTCTATTATAAATATCGTTCGGTATTACCAAGGTTTTTATACCAATAAATCCCAAACACAACAAAGTGCAGTGGTATTCTACAGAATGTCTTGTAATCTCTTCTCAATTGGTGTTTAATAAAGAGTGCGAGTGTTTCCCACAAAGGTCTTTAAGAATCTAGTATCAGAGCGAAGTTGGTATAGATTGTCTAATTTTTTAGAATTCTTAGTATACTTTGTGGTTGCAACTTTGTCTGATCTTCCACATCATATACGAATTCATGAGATTATTAGTGAGTGAGTTTCTTTGTGTCGTGAGTAGTCTGTGACTCTGCAAGTTTTATGTCGAAAGAACTTATTTGGTATTGCTGAAGTATAGCCAATACGATGAGTGATTTCCAAATCGTCAAAGAAATCAAGAAACTCAATGACAACATCTACAACACGTGGGTAACATGCATGATATCCTATTTACAGGAATGAGATCTTTAGGAGGTCGTTGATGGGAGTGAAACTACGCCGCTATAGGAGGATTCTAATGGCACCTTCAGCAAATGGAGAATCAAAGCACACAAATTAAATGTTTGCCTTGAAGACCACAATCAGAAAAGAAATGATAGAGCACTTTTGGGATGACAAGACATAGAAAGAAGCATGGAATACGTCCGTGATGCTTTAAGAAGAACGATACATGGCTATAACTTCTGGAGAACGACAATCTCACAATGTGACATGAGCATTGCTCAATACTTCCACAGAGTCAAGTCGATCTATTGGGAGATCGAAGTTCGTCATTGGAGAAGCTCGAATGAAGAGGATTATTATCCACAAATTGAAGAATATAGAAGTTTTGTTATTGCTATACAAAGATGACATGCTCAACCATCACTTGTAGAGTTTGAAAATTTGCTAGCCAGTCAAGAAGTCATGGTTAGACAAATGGGAGGCATCACGTTGAAAAGGGAGAAAAAGAGCTCTACACATGTAAAAGTTAGAGTAACAAAAAACCACGATGATACAAAAATTGTGACAAAGAAAGAAGACACCAAAGAACTGCACAACCTTGGAGAGCTCATCAGAACAACAACAAGAGTTCTCAAGGAAAGAGGTTTAAAGATATTTGCTACAATTGTGGGAAGAAGTGTCGCATGTTCAAGGATTGTTGGTCCAAGAAAAATTCTCGAAAGTAATGTGGCAACCTCCAAAAAGGAGATGGAGGATGAATGAGATGCAAAGATACGATGTATATAAAAAGATGAGCTAGCACTCATGGCGATGATGGGAGAGCATATCAATTACGAGAATGACTGGATCATTGATTTAGAATACTCAAACCACATGATTGACGATTAGAGCGAAGCAATGGAAGTAGGGTGGCCCTCACAGAAGGAAGTATTGCCAAACTTTGGCAACATTGAAAAAACTCTTCGATAGAAAACATGGGAGCAAACTGTACACATTTGTTTAAGTGTTGATGTGTCTGAAGATTCAAGTGATAATAATGTTAGTGAGCAAGAAGTGACTCAATCATGTGAACTCGGTGAAAATGAAATAACACCTAAACAAGTTAGACGATCAGAAAGAATCCAAAAGTCAAATCCAATGTATGTCAATATAACTATTATAGAATATGAAGTTAGAAGAGCCAGAGATGTATGGAGAAGCATCATAAAATACAGCTTGGCAACAGATAATGGAGGAAAAAATTATAGCTTTGGAGAAAAATCGAACTTGGGAACTAGTGCCAAGACTAGGAGATATCAAGCCCATCTCTTGCAAGGCTTACAAAATAATGTGTCTCTCGGATGGATCAATCGAGAGATACAAGGCTCGAACTGTAGCTCCAGGGTTCTCTCAACAATATGGACTAGACTATGATGAAACGTTTAGTCTAGTGGCGAAGATCACTATCATACAAGTTACTCCAGCACTTCGGTAAGTAAAGATTGGAAATGATGGCAGATGGATATAAAGAAGGCTTTCTTACATGGAGAGTTAGACAAGGAGATCTACGTGAACCAACCAAATAGATTTGAAAATGAAGTTGGAGTCATTAGACAATACACGCAAAGTCTAAAGAAACCTCATTTAAATGCGGCTAGACAGATCTTGCGATATGTCAAAAGTATAATTGATTATGATCTTTTGTACAAAAAAAAAAAACAAAAACTATAATCTAGCTAGATACAGTGATGCTGGCTATCCATGATATTCGATACCTGAAGATCAAGCATCGAGTATGTGTTCAAGCTCAGTTCTAAAATAGTTTCTTGGTGTAGCAAAAGACAACCAATAGTCTCATTTTCAACTACATAAGCCGAGTACAAAGTAACAACTAGAGCAGCTCAAGAAAGTACATAGTTGAAACTTTTAACGGAGGATTTGCACCAGAAAATTGACTATCAAATATCATCTCATTGTGACAACCAATTTGCGATTCTTCTAGTAGAAAATTTGATGTTTCATGGTAGAACAAAGCATACCAGGGTTGAATACTAACAAATATGAGGGCTTTCGCTGTCAGCTCAACATAGTGCGGCGAATGAGAACTAGGGTTGAGGGAGAGTGTTAAAATATCATCACTTCCGTAATATGGTCAAGTAGTGTATGAGTTCATTCATGTGTATTTTAGGAAAATGACTTACTTTAAAAGAGATACTACTAATTTTAGTAACCGAATTTAGATATTTTAAGTATAAATGGTTAGATATTTTAATAATAAATTACTATCTATTATAAATACTCCTTCACAGGTTTTCATCCCAACAAATCCCAAAGGCAACAAAGTGTAGTAGCACTATACATAGTATCTTATAATCTTTTTTCAGCTAATAAAGAGGACGAATATTTTCCACAAAGAGTTGTGTTTAACTAGACTCTATTCAATCAAACAACTCTGGAATTTACATTCTAGGACATGACTGATGCGCACTTTGGTCCGGTGATTTTATGCTCGACCTCTGAATATGGAACTTGACGTTGTTGTTTCTTCAAACATGGTGCTTTCCCAAGTGAATCTGAAGGTTGGCATTGCGGTGGTTACAGTGACCCGATTGTGGTAATGATTGAGTGGGTGTCGAGGATATTGGTTTTGGTGCCTTTTCTTCAAATGTGGTGCCTTACCAGTGGCAGATTGCTATGCCGGCTACCATGGAGTAATTGACTCATAATATGTAGCACCCGAAGAAGATGAAAAAAAAAAATGGTCAAAGTCAACTAGGCAAATAGGTCATTTTACTCCTCCAACCATTATAGGAGTCCTTGAAGCCCTAACACAATACCTACCTATAGAGAAAGAAAGAGAGAGAGAGAACTAAGGATTCATCGTATACCTCATCATAAAACCAACTACGAATGGGAGGTGTCGTGTGGTTAGAGTTCCTTTTCCATCAAGAACTCGAGAAGACCCGTGAGGCAAGATTTTGAGCATTTTTATCATATCTGGGACTTTTTGTTGTGAATCGAAGTTTGAAATCTTGATATATTCATCTAGAGGGAATCCTCCACAGGATTCTTAAAGAAACCTAGCCGAAATTCTGGTCCTAAGGCAGAGATACGAGAGTCCTTCCAAGGATCAGTAAGGATGTTAACGAACCTTCTTTCAGAACTCATAACTTGGTCTCTGATGGCGTTTAAATTCCAAGAAAACTAGTAGGATGCAGATGAAATTATGATCTAAAACTTTGTTGATGAAATATACAGATTCGAAATATCAAAAATAGAAAAAGAAATCTAATTGGAAAATGGTTGTTCATATGTAGGAGGAGAGAGAAATGACTCTGGCGAGTCACGTGTCGACCAGCAAGTGGAACCGCACATACCACCAAGCGGAGTACACGTGCCAAGCACCAGGTGGAGCCATGCATCGAACGTCCCATGGAGCACCACAGCTCCACTCGATCTACGACACACGGCCTCTGCACTCGATCTAACCCACAACCCCATCTACTCTAGTGACCTGCAGTCCAACCTAAGCTGCTTAACTCGAATCGACCCAGAACCCGATCCAGCGACCCTCAGTATGGCTTTCTTCCATGTGTGGCACTCGCGCATGACAACCACAAGTGGGGCTTTCCTAGGCGCGTGGGAGTGCGTATAAGCTCCATTTTGACTCGTTTTACTTCTGGTTGCCCGATTTTCATCCTGATTCAAGTTCTATTTTTATGTAAATTATCACTTAATTGAGAAAAATCAATATTTTTGGACACCCTATTCGCGTAGTAACGTTAAACGAAAGGGCACGCTAATACTTGTAGAATTTGCTTGGAATACAAGCATACTGTATTTACCTTAGGTGGTAGTTTTCCATGAATGAATTTAAGTAATTTGATTATTATGAGTATGGATGTATTATGTGAAGCATTATGAGAATTATCTGAGTGTTGCAATTATGCTTTAAGCTTTAGCTATACATGTATGTGTTTAATTCATGCTGAAAAGAGGATGAGAATTTGTGAACTCTGCACTCTGCGAGCTTGATGGATGTTATCGTCCTGTTGAGCATGTATGACTATTTTTCATGAATTATATATGATGATACTAGATAATGGTTGTGTACACACTCGATCGATTTCCATGATCCAAAATTATGTTAAGTCTAGGGACTTGTGGTTAGAGTGACTAGTCAGTAAGTATAGACCCAACCTTTTCCCTATGAACTTAACAGATCACCACGGTGTACGAACTACTTCAAAAGCATCCTTAGGCT